AAAGACCTTGATTAGTCCCACACATGCAATATACCCAATATTTTGAAAATTTACAAAATTCAGCAATATGTCCAACTTTTACCCTCACCAAACCATGGCGGTTACCTCTTGTTGTGCTGTAATACATGGGTCGTTACAGCTAAAAGGAGTGTCATCTTAGAACACATATTCGGTAAGCATAGGGTCAAGAAATTATATTTATTTGAATACGTATTATAATGCATGAAACTTACGATGAATTTAAAATTAATAAAATTTATTATACCACATGCTTTAAAATTCAATAGAATATATGAAACCATTTGTTAACTCATTCGCCAGGTGGAACTATTTTTCTACGCGAATGTAATAGGCGACTTCTGTTTCTTAAGAAAATAAGCACTTAAGTATTTAAACAGAAAAGAAAACATTTGATGGTGTGATTTTACACATGTGAGACCAACATAGTGAGGAGAGCGTGATGTTATTCAAAGTTTATGCTCGTTCGGTATGGATTACTTTTCGACCAGTTTAAATTCACGTCAGCTTTATTTGAAAATGAACAAAAACAATATTTGCTAATAAATAATGATTGTTGTGGAAATTAACTGCATTCAAATATTAGACATGTTCTGTTACAGAAACAGCACCCCACTTCCTGCATATAACAAATTCTATAACAAGATATAAGCAAATACTTTTAAAGCGTGTCGATTTACAAAGCGTATGATAAATATTTATATATTCGCTATAACCTTATATTTTTATATTAGATAAAGACAGACAAAATTCGGACCAAAAAAAATTGTTCCTTATAACCGGAAGTTCGCTATAACTGTGTTCGCCATAACTGAAGTTCACTGAACCAGGTATTATATTTCGAGACAGAAAACTATCAAATTTTGTTTTTACATATGAATAATAATCTTTTTTTGTACGAAATCTGCTGTATTCATAGTAAAAGTGTTACAATAGGTTTAGATCTTAAATCTGGCTTGCAAATCGTGGTCTTATAACTACATATTTAGGTAAAGAAGGAGACAGCTTGTTATGTTTTTTTTTATTTTATTTTTTTATTTATTTATTTTTTTTTTGGGGGGGGAGGGAGTGGGTAGGTGTCATACACAAATATACAATTTATATGAATTTATTTTTTTCCAATGATTTTGATTACATGTTTAATATAAGTCTTGTTGTAAATAGGCGGGCATCGGCTTATAATATATTGTGTTTGTATTTATTCAGTTAAGCAAATGGTATAACAAAACAAAACAAAAACATTATTCCAGATTTGTACAATATTAAAGTAAAATAAGTCCTTTATCACATAAGTATACCTGATTAACAATTTTCACTATGGAATACATTGTACAAACGTCAATATCAGTTACCAATATATTCAGACGTAACAAGAAATATTTATGAGGTAGGTAAAGTACTAAACATAGTATATTCATATATCTCCTATAAAATGAGAGAATTCACTTTTTTAATGCATCATCATGTTTTGTGGTAGTTAAATGTCGTAGTTACGAGAAGAAACTATTTTGTTAATGATGTTCCCCTTGAAGTACCTCAGACGGCGTTCCAATTCGTTTCTCGAATGAATATGATTAACAAAGCAGAACAGCGTTTATGAATGATACATATGCCTTGGGTTTTTTTTTCTATTCAGAGAGAACGCTATCAAGACTAATTCAATTATTGATCAAAAGTTAGGATGGATTTGTTTTTTTAATGAAATTTTAGCATTATGGATGATAAAAGAAATTATTGTTTAAAGGTTAGTACGTTTACATTCCATGTTGTTTATTGCCAATTGTCATCATATGAGTAATGCATTGTTTACAAGCATAACACTTGTGTTGCCAGCTTTACAGTATATAAATATTCAACTTATTTACTTTTTCTTTCTAAAAGAAGGTACTTTTTTCAATAGATTAACTAGTTTGTTTATCATTCAAACGACGGACAATGCATTCATGTACATGTATATGCAAAGGGGTACGGCTCATTGAATGTTCACAAAATATGTATTTGATGGTAGATTTATCCTAAGTCAGAAATGAATTCTAAGTACATTCCCATTACACTATATACTAATATATAGACAAGGGTAACAACTCCCATAAGAAGGTGTCCATGCCCAATCGGGGTTTTTGCCTCGCAGTTTTTTACACGATACAGCATAAATAAAACTGAATTATGCAATTTGTAGTCGAATGATTTATCTATCGAACCAATGTAAAACTTTTCTTATATCTCTTATACTTAACGAGTACTGGCCGTCAAAGTAACAAAAAACTGTTCATTTTCGCGAGGTCGACATCGATCGTGGCTACGCAGGAAACACAAAGTTACACGACTGTTGCAATCGTTGGAGATAATATCACAAGCATTTATCATGCTGGGCAATTGAAAATACATAAAAGTAATCAAAATATACCAATAACCTATAATGACAATGTGATATAAACTCACCTGCGGCTTCAAAATATTTCCTCGTTGAAATTTCTATATAACACCGCCATCTTGACGAATGTAAACAACCGTCATTTGATTGGTCGATTTATTTCCCGAAAATATACCCGTAAATTTCCGAAAAAAAATCAAAGCACAGAAGGCGCTGAATTTGTTTGGGTCTCAGAATGTCAAAAAGGTGAAGGTTGTGAGATTATAAAACAATTTGTTTTTGTATAGTGCCACCAATGCTTTCCAGCGTTTTAATTGTAGTAGAACGGCTATAAGACTAATTGCAACACTGATAATTCGATCCAATGTTTATTTGACTTAAACAATTTGAAAAAATAATGAGTTGCCTTAAATGGAATTTGAACTCCAGACCTCTCGCTTCCTAAGCGATCGCGGAAACCCCTCGGCCACGGTGAATTTATATGTAAATGGCCTGAAGTAAACCATATTATTCTAGTTAGGGTTTGTAACGACGCTAACTGTTGTTTAACACTAAATAATCATGGCGCTTACTATAAGCATGTATATCTATAAAGAATAAAACAATATTAGAAATATTCGACCATTCGGGAGTTATTTTGCTTGAAAATTAATCCGCCTGTCATGTTACCATATTTACGCAGTGATCTCCCCTAAATTTTTCGGCCTAAGTGTTACATATAAAGGGAAGTAACCGCTTAAAAAAAGCGGACTACTTTCGGCACTTGCAATTAACAGCATTAGAGTCTGAAATTTCGCTACCATTATTTATTTGGTCTGACGACCCAAACAAATGAAAACGACCAATCAGATGACGTTTGTTTATATTCGTCAAGATGGCGGTGTTATATAGAAATTTCAACGAGGAAATATTTTGAAGCCGCAGGTGAGTTTATATCACATTGTCATTATAGGTTATTGGTATATTTTGATTACTTTTATGTATTTTCAATTGCCCAGCATGATAAATGCTTGTGATATTATCTCCAACGATTGCAACAGTCGTGTAACTTTGTGTTTCCTGCGTAGCCACGATCGATGTCGACCTCGCGAAAATGAACAGTTTTTTGTTACTTTGACGGCCAGTACTCGTTAAGTATAAGAGATATAAGAAAAGTTTTACATTGGTTCGATAGATAAATCATTCGACTACAAATTGCATAATTCATTTTTATTTATGCTGTATCGTGTAAAAAACTGCGAGGCAAAAACCCTGATTGGGCATAGACACATTCTTATGGGAGTTGTTACCCTTGTCTATATATAAGTATATAGTGTAATGGGAATGTACTTAGAATTCATTTCTGACTTAGGATAAATGTTTTCTACCATCAAATACATATTTTGTGAACATTCAATGAGCCGTACCCCTTTGTGTATATGTAGTTGATATTTAAATCCACGTGATAAATTACTACGTTTGATCTTCAAATGTTTTGTGTTGGTGTCATCTGTAACTTTTTGTCAACACATTTTTCTGGCTTGATAGATAAAAGTTTTATTCCAGAATATTTTTTTTATTATTTCATGAAATAAAAATGACATGTGTGTAATGGTATTAAATTATAGTTCTTAACTATTTTCCCCAGGTACAAACAGCGTAATTTCCATATTTAATCTAATCTAAAGCTTGTTTTGTACTAATGTTTCCAAGAAGTGCCTGCAAATTTGGTAAGACACATCACTGAAATGTTCTTGCATAGCAGACTGGCGTTTCCGTGAGTTTTACCCATGCCGGAAATTTCATCTGGCATGTTATTCATATTATTAATCTATAGTGGACATAGAAAAACCTTTATGAAACTGATCAGTACAAATTATCAAGAAAACGTATGTTTTGCCTAATATTTGATCGGTCTGACTTAAAAATATCATAATTTTTAAATACAGGTTGCAATGTATCATTACATAAACACAATTTAAATGTTACACATACCGCTGAAAATGTTTATTTAAACTTTTATTTGGCCGCTAATGAGTTAAAAATCATAAAGAGAACGAGAATAAATTAAAATGCAACGTTTCAACTTTATAAATGCCTCTACATTAGAGATTATTTTTTAAGTATAATATCTTTCAAAATAGCTGACTTGCAAGAGCTGTCGAGTGTTAAGATATCGGTACAAAATTCGTCACGGTCGATCGACTTGTAACGCTTGTCATTGTACAATTATTGCAAATGCTAATATACATATTTTTATATAAGTTTAATTTATAGTGACATTGCTTATGTGTTTTTTTTCTACATTAAAACATTTTTTCATGTTTCGTTATTTACTATGTACATACCGTATTATTTGCATGCACGGTAGCATTTCAAATTGGAGTTAAAATCTGAAAACTAGCGAAATGTTTAAATAAGTACACAAACAAATACAAAAATAAGGCAGAATGATTTTTAAAAGATTTAAGAATTACTAGATTATTGTATAATCTTTATGGATTTTATTTGTTTAAAGGTTCGGGTATTGATTTTCCAGTCGTTTCAATACGCACTATTGCATTTTAGCAGAAATGAATTTTCACACATCGAGTTGTTCAAACATATCTTAAAACGTATCGTCTTGTTTATTCTTTACTAACGAAATTCCAGATCGACATACTAGTAGCACTAAGATGACAATGGTCAACAAAGACCAAGAGAAAGACGTACTGAAGGAACAGGATTCTACTGAGGAATGTTTAACGAGTTGTCACGATGAGTTTAGTGATTTGGACAATGGATGGGCCTGGGCTGTTCTGTTCGCAAGTTTTGGGACATTTTTCCTGATTGGTAACTCAATGTATGCAGTAGGAATAATTCATTCTTCCTTGTTGGACAGATACGAAGAGAGCGTGTCTTTAACATCTTGGGCTGGGGCATTACACACCGCATTCATGTCACTAGGAGGTATTTATTATATTCACGTATATTCTATAATATATAGCAAAAATAGATAAATCATAAATATACAAGTAAATGAAATAAAATATAAAAGATAAATAACCTTATTTCTTAGTAGCATATAATTGAATCGAGTACTTTAAAACAACGTCAAAATGTAATGTATGTCACATTTCTATGTTTAATAATAGAATGTTTTTTATATAAATATTTGTTAAGCTCATTCATCTAAAAATTTACGATTTGTCAAATTCTGAAATCTGTCCGTTTACATTTAATATGTTTAAAATAACAAAAGTTTATTTAAATGCTAACTGGTGTCAGGCACCGACAACGTAAACCGAAGTTTACTTATTAACCTTATATATTCTTGTTTTTTCTTCAAATATTTGGAATTAAATGTACTGTAAATGCTTAGAAAAATATTTACGAGTAAGATTTACTTTTCAAAACTAAAAAACGATACCCCCTAAAAACAACAAAAAACCTAACAGCATTTTATGGGCAAAGTATCCAAAGTTTTGCTGCATGTTTAAGGTCACCGTACTATAAGTGTCCATGTATATTTCTTCCTGTTTGAATTAAAATTATATTATGGTATGGTTCATAATGTGACCCTCGTAAAATAAGAAAAAAACCCAACTTATTTGAAATGAAGCAAAGAGGTATATTCATTTTTCGAAACAAGTCCCATGCGATTCCGGGATATGCGTTTCATATTACAACCACACTACTTCTTGATGCTCACAATATGATTATTTCGTACCGCTGTTTGTAGTTATTCAAACAGTCTTTATTTAAATCTCTCCACGTTTGTTACATCGTTTTTCATTGGATTATTTTGACGTTTATATAATCTATATAGACGGCTACAGTGACTACAGTAGATTTATGATGTACTTTCATTTTTTCTCTAATAAAGGAGGTTTGCAGTATTAAAGATTCTTGACAAGTTATATGGCCGTATTGAAACGGTTATTTGCAACGGTTCAGATTATATGTACAAACAACTGTTTATATAGGCCAATAAAACCTGTCAAAAATCTTTATAACTAATCATATATCCAAACGTGAAGAATATCTTTTCATTCTTAGCACTTAATCTGTCTTACAGGGCCATTATCAACAGTAGTAATCGACAGATTTAGTTGCAGAACTGCGATAACATTATCAGGGGTGTTCTTTGTAGTTGGTTATTTAGCAACAGCGTTCGCACAGACCATCGAGGTGGCTATATTTACTTGTGGCATTATTGCAGGTAAGCAGAGTTGTGATTTGCGAAATTTCGAGTAGAGTCTTGTAAATTTATTTCAGGAAATGTTTAATAAGATGATTTAAAGCCAAAAAATGTGGCTACACTGAACGTCAAATTTTACACAAAATTGACAATTTTCTTTCCATTTTTCAAACATTTTTTTAGGCGTAAAACGATAAACTTTATAGAATAATACCCGTCGAATACTGTAGAATTTAAGAATTTTTGTCCGGCTTTGGCGTTGTGATATCCGTAACGGTTGTCAAGGATATGCTCGAAAATGGGTTTTTGGTGGTCAACTTTGACGTCGTGTGTACAAACAAATGGCTGACACTTAGTCTATTGAAATAAAATCAACGGAATCTAATCTGAAATATATTCAACTTTATGCATGCCAATTTTGAAGACGCCATTCGAAAGTTCGCAAAGTGTCGCGTTCTACTTTAAGATGTAAAAAATAACTTTATTTTAGGCAGTATAATGCTAACATAACTCGAAGGTGTATAAATATAACCGACACTTTTTTCAGAATAAGTAAGTTTGTATAAAAACTTGATTGATGAATGCTTGATTTTTATTTAGGTACTAAATATAATGGAAAGATTTACATAACATAAAATCGTTATCAGTATGTATATAATTAACCAAATAATAACCATAACAGTTCATTATCAAAACCAAAACTGAAAAAAAAAACAGTTTGCTTAACACTAAAGAGTACCCCTTCATAATTCAATTGGCGCAAACGGACCCATTAAATTTGAAGGGCAAAATGAAGTTATTGAAGACACATTTACACATATGCTGAATAAGTAACCAACAATTAGGCAGGTTCAAGTTTTGTATTTGTATTCATTTAGGTAAAGTCTATTTTGATAAACTTTCATGTGAATAAATTTGATATGCCAAGTTGCCACACTAATATGTGATCTGGTAGTTAACAAATTAACCAAGACATTCCATTATATGATATTCTTTTTAAGGAATTGGTGCTGCTCTTGGGTATACTGCTGCAATGGTAGTCGTCGGCTTCAACTTTAGACGGAAACGAAACCTTGCGCTTGGTATAGCTCTGTCCGGAGTTGGGGCAGGATTGTTCGTTTTGGCGCCTGTTGTGCAATTAGCCCGTGACTACTATGGTCCTGCCGGATTCTTCATTATTCTTGCTGCACTAACAGCCAATATTATAACATTCGGCCAAATGTGTTTTCCAAGCAAATTAGAATTACAAACCCAAGTGAGAAGAAAGTTTGATTCAACTAAATCAAGTTCAAATAGAAATATATTTGCCAGTGTAAAACCATATCTTCATGTTCTAACAAATAAAGGAATGGTATGCCTGTTTTTGTGCATGTTCTTTTATTGTCTTGGCACGTATCTTGTTTATCTACATTTACCTACATTTATAGTTACCAAAGGTTTCTCCGCGGTTAAAGCCTCGTTTTTGATATCATTATCAGGGATATTGTCTTTATTTGGTCGCTTGTTAACCGGTATTGTTGCCAACTTGAATCGAATAAACGACACAGTTTTATATTCTGGAACAATGTTCATTGTAGGGATAGCAACCTTCATATATCCTTTCACTGCCGATTATTTTGCTGGACATGTGATATACACAGTGCTTCTTGGACTCTTCTTTGGAAGTTGTTATGTTACTATAACAGCAGTGAGCCTGGAGTTTGTGGAGATAAGTTATGTTGCTACTGCTATTGGCCTTCAGTTCTGCTTTGGTGGTATTGGTGCAGTCATAGGACCCGTTTGTGCAGGTAAAAGTTTCAGCTATTCGACAATTCTTACTTTTACATGTGATGGTAAAGTAGATATAGTATCTAATTGTGATAGGATATCAGATTTTAAAAGCGCTTTGATGATGAAACAAAGATAAAATATTAATCGGTTTATACAGAATTCATATTAGTTCAATTGTGTATGATGCTTATAGCTTATAAATACACTCTCGAATCCGATGAAACTAACCAGTACTTAGCAAAGAAATAACGGCTGGCCTCTGACAGGGTTTGGACCTACGCGGATATCTATAAGAGTACAAGTCCGACGTGTTACCACGTGGCTATTTCCGAGTATTATTAAATATATTATATAAAATATTTATTTACTTGGTAATAAATAATGCCTGCAGCATAAAGAACTACGTCGAAACACCTGAACCTTATGTTCATCCATTTCTTGCGCATGTGTGTGTTCTGGTGGAGAAGTACGGGTTTCCATCTCATTTTAACTTATATGACAAATCAGACAGGAAAAATATTTACTTAAAAAATAGAATAAGCTGCAATAACGCTGGTTTTTCATTTTCATCATCTATAAAGGTACCGGGAGATATTATGATATTATTCAAATCATAAACAGTACACACTTCATTCAAAACTGAATTTTGGTCATTTCATTTATATATGTGATTTCCTTACTTGTAATAATTTTCAAGACCCTTGTACATGTATATCTTTTTAACTAGATATAATATTTCATAATGTGAAATTCGTATATAGACGGTTAAATAATTGATATTATATTTTAGGTATTGTTGTGGATGCAGGTGGAACGTATGAACTGTCCATGATTGTTGGAGGTATTTATATTAAATATTTAGATCATCCAACATGCTAGCTCAACGTTAATCAAGGGTTAGGGGACCTGAAAATGAGCAGTTTTTAAGTTCAGTGTTGCTCCCCTCCATCCCCCTAAAACAATTTTAAATATTTCAAAATTTTGTACACAAGCAGTTAACCAGTTGCTCAGCCTCAATTAGAATTAATGACATACATAAGAGATTATTACAAGTCTTCACACTAATTGCTCCTATAAATAAATACTAACAGCAAATTATATCTTCCACATGATATAGGCGATCTTCAGGACGGTGCAGCCAGCCACTGCATGGATTTCCAGGCTTTTACAGTTACAAGTAATTTGAGTCACATACAGTGAAATCAATGGCAATTTTATGAATGCGTAATCAGCTGTCTGTCATTCCTTTTGGTATTTTAGCAAAAGTTTATTCAAAATTTCTTATTGGTTTCGCACCAACCGTAAAGTATGATTTTCAACTTTCTAACCTGCATTCGGAGAAACACAAGTACATACAAAACTATCAAAATGTTTAGTTTCGTGTTTTAACCTATAATAATTCTCATATATATTACGCAAACAAGACCGAATTGCAATGACAGAGATATATCAAAAGTCTTCAATATCTGTATCTAATAATAATTATTGATACAAAATGTGTATGTTCGCAAATGAGGCTCTGTGTGCAGTTCAATTTATCTTGTGACAAAAATATAAAGTAGTTTTCTTGTTTATTTTTGCTATATATTTTTCGAAAAAGGCTTTAAGTCATCTGTAAAAGTAGTTTTTAATACAAGTGTTATGAGAATACCGCTGTGGACTTAAACGAAATATATACACTTGCAAAACCTGAAAGTGCTCAATTATGCATTATTACGGTATATTATGTCAGTTTGCACAATTTTAAGCTGCTTGATATGGATAGATGTGAACAGTTTGTTTAGTGTAAAAGTTGCCAACATTCCACATTTTTATTACCTCCCCTGACAGAACTGTATGTTTGCTCCATACAACTTGATAAATTCTACTTTTTATTTCAAATTGTTACTAACATATGAATTACTAGGAAAGTCTATGGACATATTTCGGTTAATTCCAATTTGAAAATTTGTTTAAGAGGGCAGATAACCTAAAATGAGATATTTGTAGTTTATTGGTACCACCATCAGTTGCTCGGCATCATTCAAGGTTAAATGACAATGAAGAAAATAAAAATTGGAATTAATTGTTCCTAAAAATAAATGCTCTAAGCAATTTGTATTTAACCCCACACAACCTTTGTGCCTAAAATATTCGATTCCAAAGAGAAGTCGTCCGCTTACTTTGTTTTCTATTATTTATCTTATAAATAAAGACATATAATTTGATCTGGACAGCAAAATACGAATATGCTAAGTTAGCAAGCAATTATATGACAACATGAAGAACTACGAAATACTTAGCATATCATTTATTACGTTTTTGTTTTGTATTTCAGCTGTTTGTATTTTATTAGGAGCTGCGTTTAGTGGGATCACAGTGTTTTGTAGAGAAGCTAACAGTGAAGTTGTACTGCATTTAAATGATACAATAGAACTTCCCGTCAAACAAGCGTCAGCCAATGATGTTTTACAACAACCAGAAAAAGAAAGCTTCTTACAAAACTTATCAGTCGACAAATGAACAGACGCTTGCTGTTCAAAGCAAGCAGCTTAAAAGTAGTTCTCAAAAGTGTTCAAAGCAAAAAGTAGTCCTGAATAGTGTTCATGATAAACAATTTTTTTTCTGAAATGTTGAAAGCAATAAGATGTCCTGAAATGTGTTTATGATTGCAAAATGCAGTCCCTCAAAAGTGTTTACAGCAAAAAATAATTTTGGACGTGTTGAAAGCGAAAAGAATGTCTCATAAGTGCTCATGTCAGGGATGGTGAAAGCAAAAAATAGTCCTCAAGGGTGTTTCTGGTATGTTCATGATTAAATGTAGTTATCAGAAGCATTGGCAATAACACGTTACTCTCATAGGTATTGATGGTATCAATCAGTTCGAAATAATTGAACAAAATCATTTTGAATAAAACAAGATAAAGGTTACAACTAGATAAATTATCACAAAATCATAACTGAAGATATATCGAACACATTCCTGTTATTGTATCCAAACGAATTGGAAATAACATATGTGCGTATACTTCAATAAGTTATAATAATTAGTAATACTTTAATATATGGTAACAAAGAATGCATGTGACTGGCGTAAGCTTTTAGTTTTAAAGAAGCAGTTTAAAGTGTGTCACGTCGAATAATTGTACTTTATATGAACACCATGCATATATTCTTATGATACATGTTCATTTTATGAAACAACCAACATACTATTTAGGATAATATGTACCATGACATGTATACATATGTTCAAGTTAACTGGGTGCTTACTTTTATGCAGTCTAACAATAAGGAACAGTCAATTTGATAAAAGAATCTCAAAATGATTAACATAAATATGTCAACAAGCCACACAAACTCGAACACGAATCTATTTAACCCATTACTTCATATAGACATATTTTCAAGTTTTTTCACCCCCCTCTTTTTGAGGCCTCAAATGGTGAACAAATGCCCTATTTAGACCCCCAAACACTCGAATTCGTTTTGAGAAAGGTTGTTTAAAGAAGTGATCACTTTTTTGGCGCCGTCCCCTATCAAAAATACATTTTTGAAAGTTAATGTTATTTGCGGACGTGTCGGCTTGTTCGCTGATTCGTGATTATTTGTTTCTTTGTATCAAACATTCCTACATATTCATCTTAAGTGTTGCAATTTTATTTAAATTTGCAAGTATTTTAATTTATTTCAGTTCTTTATTTTTGTTGTTGTATATTCTTGGTTTAAATACATATTTGTTAAATGATATTTTATACAAACCTTGTTTACATTGTGCTTATTCGTGAGTATTTGTTTCTTTGTTTTTCTCTAGATTTTTTATACATATTTAAAGTGTTACAATATGAAAACAATTTTAGTGTTCATGATTAACACGACAAGCATTTTATAACAGGACTTTATAACGTCTCCAGGTGACTCTCTCAATTATTTCTATACTTGCAAAAAAAGGAGGCATTGAATGTTTTGTTTTCCTACAGATTTCAATGCTGAAAAACCTAACCAATATAAGTTTATTGCAATTGAAAAACAGCCATCATTTTTAAGATATTTTTTTTTCAAAATATTTACGAACTGAAAAGCGAACAGTGTAGACCATAATCTAAAGGCACGGGCGCACAGGCTAATCTTGGTCTACACTGATTGCATGGGCAGAAGCTGTTGCAATCAGCGGGCAAAAGTTAAGTAAAGGTAACATTTTATCTAATAGTTAGAATATATTAATAACTCATATACTGTATCAAAGTGTTAACTGAGCTGTAAAACATATGAACGAAAGGTGGTGAATATATAATAAATGTGCATACGTTTTCAAGTGTGGTTGGTTGTATCGATCGTCGAGCCCACTGTCCACCAGAGTAGCCCATTTCAAGTGATTTCCTCTTTATTATATATACCATTATATACCTTCTGTAAAATGTGTAAAAAGTTTAAGGAATTATTTTCGGTTTGAATAGGAAACTAACAAGGCCACTGGTGTGTAATTATATATGTTTGTTTGTTTCGGTTTAACGTCACACCGACACAGTATAGGTCATTTGGCGACGTTCCAGCTTTACTGGTGGAGAAAGACCTCAGGTGCCCTTCCGTGCATTATTTCAGGCTGGAACGGGCACCTGAGTAGAACCACCGACGTTCCGTAAGCTAGCTTGATAGCTTCCTCACATGAAAGAAAACAAAGTTCCTGTCGGGATTCGAACCCACAGCGGTGAGGGCAAGTGGTTAAATTGTATATGATATATACAACAGTCAACATAACTAAAAAGTTCAGAACAGTTTCACACGTGAACGAAGAATGCATTGTAAAATATGATTCATTATGTGACGTTTCTTATTTAAAGTCGAATCAGACTAAGACATAGATTGTCAAATCATTCTAAAAGATGGTTTTCAATCTAAAGAATGAGTCATAGATCAATGAGTAAAATGACAGACCCAAACTATAGTTATACGAGTATTCAATCAGTAACCCCGAGTGATTAAAATATCATTACCACAATTAGTGCAAACGATTTAAGTTACTCTGTTTACAGGAAGAAGACCAGAATGGAATCTAACAAGAAAAATATTACATACATTCGTATGTATTATGTAATATAGGTACGATTGCATACTACTTTTTGTGAAGACTTTTTATGTTTGCTGCATTAAAGGTGTAATGTAAAATGAACAAACATGTCATGAGATATTTTATATCTTTAAACCTTTTCATGGAATGTATTAATGTATCATCATATTACAGTTGCATGCCTTCAGATGAGGAAAATGATTTCAAGAAAATCAAAATATGAAAAGAAGATTCACGGTCAATTGACTGCTTTGAAGCATAATCACAGAATAAAATTCCAGGAAATTAAAAACCTTTTTAATACACTAAAGGTAGAATGTCATTGTAAGTCATAGTCACAGATTTGAGATATGATTATTTATTCATATTAACATCATTATTGGTTATATATTGATAAAAAAAACTCGAAAGACACAGTTTGTAAATATTTATTACAATAAAATATGAAAAAGCGCCGAGGTTAGCTATATTTATAATTCCCGCGCTAAGTCGCGGTGGTGCTTGGGATAATAACTTGATACTGTAAATGGCAGCCATTTTACGATACGAAAATGCCTGGCCCTCCTCAGACAGTTTATCCTGCCGAAAAGATATGAAAAAATACTTGCAATTCAAAGTTTGTTTGCTACATTTACTCTTTCTGCCTGATTGTAATTATAATGATGTGTTTTTATTGGCTTAAACCATCACGTTATCAATACACATAAAGGTGTAAACTAATTTCGTGTTCATTAAAATTATTCCGTTAATAGACATATAACAATCTTATTTACAAATGAATTGATAAAACAACAATCCCAGAAGCATATAAGATAATAACAATCATTGGAAAAAAATAAATGCATATAAATTATAAATTTGTGTATGACAACTCACCCCCAAAACAAAACTAATAGACTCAACCAAAACAAGCGTCTACTTCTTTACCTAACTATGTAGTTGCATGACCATGATTAGCAATAGCAAACCAAATGTAAGAGCTAAAGCTATTGTAAAAATAATACTATGACCACAGCAGATTTCGTACAGAAAAGGAGATATCAAGATCAATTTAAAAACAGAAAGTCTCTCTTTTCCCATAACACCGGCTTATTGGTTAACGATGTCTAAAATTATTGAAATGAATAAGAAAAAAGTGAAAACAGAAAGATACAATAAATATCAAAGCCATACTGGTTTGAGGTAAAGGGCAACATGTAACAGCTATATCATATTAAGTAAAAAAATCTGAAAGAGATATTTCCAGGAGCAATAAAAAACTGATAAATGAGAATTTCTGACTTTGCTTGAATGAGTCTGCTCAAGGGCGACAATGAAGAATGCTACATTTTTTCATCCCCAAGCACAGGCTGATGCAGTATTCAATATTTTCTACATTAAAGTTTGAAGTCAGTTATGACCTTTGTTAATCAACTATCCACATGTATCTAAAACCGTAAAAAATACTGAAACATTTTCATTCAAACGACGGAATATCGGACATATTAGTAAACGTTTGACACTGCCTGAAAGTAATGAAATGTTAGTTTAACGATTTAGAGAGAAAGTAACACTCTGAACTGGCGATAGAACTTGACTGTTAAGTCTTATTCATATCCAAGATATAGTTACCTATTTCTTACTTCCAATAAGATATTTTTTTTAAATAAACAGACAACATCGGAAATATTAAAAATCTTTAAAATGTTTAAGAAATAACACCTAAAGTAACATATAAACACTTTGTTCTTAGTAGCTAAGTCAAACCGATATGTTTGTTTTCGGGAATAATAATTCGTACATATCGTATTGAATTTATTTAACTATCTTAATAAAACCGCATGCACATTTTAATGTTCAACTTGCAGTATAGATTCCATACGGAATCATTTACAGTAATATGATCAGAAATTACATAATTGACGTGATGCCATATTATGTAACAGTTGAAAATATTGTAGGTTAAATACGAGATGGGATATAATTAAAGGACCTCTGTACGGGTATCTTGAACCATTACATCGGAGTCAAATACAAATTCCAAACCCAGATACTATCATAGTAGCTATATTGATGTGTTTGTTTGATATTCATGATATTTATATGTTATAACATGATAATTTTTCATCCATGAAATCATATTTACGACATAATCTATTGCGGTGATAATCTAAATTGTTAACCGTAATTAAATCTTACTATAATCATTTCAGAATATGTTGAGTTTTTTTGTGGTTAAATATAATTGTAATTTCAGAAAATGTCTTGGAACATTTTCAAGTCAATTTGTATTTAAAACGTCAAATGTGCAATAATTATTGACAGCTCTTGCTATGTGATACTCTAGGTTTGTCAAATACAATATAACTATAATATTTATAATAGCACTATTGGAGTTTATACATAATTTGATCGAAATTAAAATTCTGACATACAAATTACAGATAATCAGTAGGGTCGTTAAAAAGTGGTGATATTGGTTTGTTTCGGCTTCACAAAAGACGAAGGTTAAAATCCTTATGTTTGCGTTCATTGGAATGTAAAATTTCAAAATTGTTGTGAAATTTTATAAGTCAACTTTGACCTCGCAGCTGACATAAAAAATAATTGCCAGACTTTACCAAATGTTCAGACCAATGGAACTAATTTGTATAATGCGTTCTTTTGTGCAACTTGTAAATAAAAACCGCACGTGTATCTATTCCTTTTAATTCATGGCACGGTGTCTGGATTAAAAAAGCACCACAGAACACCAACGGTGAATGGTTTTAAGGTTTAGAAAGTGAATGGATAGTTAACATCAATTTGTCAGAGATAAAAAATGACGATATACGTGTGAAGGAACACAGGTTCTTGCGATAAAGCAAGTTTATTCCCCCTCTGGGTTTAAAAACAGGCAAAAAAATGTAGATATATTGATGTAGAGCACACATATGGAATATATAATGATATTATAATATAATATTTAGGATATGCTTCTATAAAACTTCTTCGCATAGTTACCTTCCCGGCGCCGTCCCGACTGACATATCTTCGGAGCTGTTTGGATAATATTATTTATTCATATGATAATTTTTGTGTGATTGAAGTGGAGCGTGTGTTCTCAATTTCATTTATATTGCCAGTTTTGTCTTAAGTTACTTTGATATATTTTGTAAGTAACTTGAATATATAATGTTGAAAATACAAAGGTGTTCAAACGCTCAGGTGACATTACTTTGTGTAATCATCATACAGTTCAGTCTGGTGTCAAGTTATTATGTGACGGACAATCTGACAAGAGGTCAAAGGTTGAGACCGGAGCAGTATCAGTCGACGGCGAAGGAGAGAAGGTACTTGCTGAAAAGACAGAGAAAGATGCAGAGATGGGGATACGATATTGATGTAAGTGGCTTTATAATTGAAATATTCTAATCAAAAATATTGTTTTAATTGAATTAGTTAAAAACATTATTAAAATGTATGTATAATTTCGTGTCCGTAAACCATAGTGTAGATCCTATCTGAAACAAACCTCTCCCTATATTGTGTATGTTTGACATAAACCTTAATGCGTAATATGTATTTATTTATATTATTTTATTCTATAATACATATTATCATATCGTTGTTGAATTAAAACTAAATATGAGATGATTTGTTATAATGTTAGAAGTTCTCTTAAACTGAATTATTAAATGATATAAACAACAACAAAACAAATAAACACAAACAACAACAACAACAGCAACAACAATAACAACAACAACAACAACAACAACAAACAACAACGACAACAAAAAAACAACAACAAAAAAAGACGATGAACATTAACTATACATCCGCAATTAGTATGATAATTTTCGCAATTTAATCTGATTAATACGAATGATATAGAAATGTTATGTTATACTTTATAATATATTTTACTACTTTAATTTAACATACATTTTTATTCTTAATATTTGAATATTATTCACGATTTATGAATAAAGAAACCTGACAATATTTTATTAAGTATGTGTGCTAATTGATATGTGTTACAGGAACAGAATAGCTTAAATAAGGTTATAATTATCCTTAATTAATTAACAGTGGTTTAAGTTAATTATACAACAAATGCTTGTTTTTGTATAATGTCGAGAGAGCAAAAAAAGTGCGTTTCAAAATGCAATTTATTTCTACTATCTCAGCCATTATTATTCTATTCAAGGAATATTTATTTATACTTTATATTGAATGCCCTTTCCAAACATCGTATATAAAACGGTTAATCTTACGATTAGATTTGTAAGTCAGTATAGTTTAAGCTTTGTTATATTTCTGTGACCACAAGAGATAATTACATATAGGTACATTTATTATAGAAACGGTCCTGGTCCTGTTTTCCAATATACAATCAATAAAGATCAAATAACCAGTTATCACAAAGGTAAAATAATTATTGATATAATGAAGTGTATGTATAGGGTATCATAGAGGGCGGGGGAGTGGGCACCGTAATTTAATACATACTTAAGATTCATTCAATTAAATAAGAAAAAAACAAGACGAAACTTTAAAAGAACGTCCAATAGACTGTTTAGAATGAGCCTGTTTATGGACGGTAGTTGTAAGTGCCAAGTTACCGTCAATGCCCAAAGCACCGGTTAATGTTTTGACAGATTAACTTCAAAATACAACGCTCTTAGCATATCTCTGACAGTATTCAAAATTCAAACTGTTAATAAAGTCTACGAGAGCTAGACAACTGAAACCTATACAGTTATTGAATTACAGGATCGTATATTTTGTTGCGTTCGTGTACTATAACAACAAAAGGAAACCACTGCCTTCCATAACTTCTTTATTGTTTTTATTATTAAACAAAAGGATAACATCTAGACAAATTTATAACCTTAATTTTATTTCATTATGATATTATAGAAGACTGGTCTAAATGTCTGAAAATACTCTTTACAATCCGCTGTCAAAATTTGTTTGATAACGAGGCTGCATCTGCATCTACTCTTTGTTGTTCTTTCACTTTTTTATGTATCTGTTACAAGTAATTACAATTTATTACACAAGTGCGCATTAAAATGTAAAGAGTACGTAGAGCGTATGTTTTCCATGGATCATGCATACCTTGAATCGACTGTTACAATTCCCTGGGCGGACTTGTTTATCTCTACAAACATCGAAATCTGTCATTTGTGTGCAATGCCAGTCGCTAATTACAAACACGTTTTCCCTGGAAATCGCTCTAAAATATCCCATTAATATAAAGTGCGCATCCTGGTACAGGAAGAAAGTCGCAGTATTATTTCTCATATATTGGTATGGCTTAAAGGTAATACATTAAGACTGAAAACAAATGGGGAAAAAATGAGCATTAAAAAATCTACTACATATTTTTTCTTCTTAGTACATTGTATTATTTGTGTACCTTTAATATTTAAGTTGCATTAATAGACATTTGTCCGTTACACTTCATATCTTGAATGAATGTAGCTTGATGACAATATTAAAGATATATATATGCTCAATTTGATATTAGAAAATATAAATAATTGCTACACTGTATCTTTGTTAATATAAGATAGACATGTTTTGACTTCACACAAAATAGATACATTATGTTAAAAAATTCTACACACTATTGGTGGTCACGATATATAAATATGAAGTGACATTAAAAAACTGACAGTATTCTAACGAAAGGACCAAGTTTACTTGTCCTGCAAAAAGGAACGCAGCTTCCCATACTAAGTTTTATTCTTTTATTCAAAAAGACGTATTCAGTAAGAATTTCATAGACATAGATTTCAATAAATGTATGTGATTAAAATATTTTATCCAATATGAGCAATAGTATATCAATATATATAGCAATGAGCATAGTATATCTAACCCTGAATTGCTGTTCATTTTATGATTATAAACAATGAATTATCAGAATGATAATTTAAATTGTTTCTTATCTTAAACTCGGACAGAAAGAAAATCGCATTTTTTTATTGCTTTGCTGTCATTGAGTCGAAAATGCACAATGTATTTATCATTATTTTATTTCATTTGAATGTTTTGATTCACTATATGAGAAAACAGTCCGATCTGAATTTTTACAAAGATATGATTACACAAAATGTAAAATGATTGTCCACTTTATTTTAGTTAGTATAAAAATGTTACACTTTCCTCAAAGAGTACATTTGTAAAATTACATTTTAAACACGTGCACAATGTATACATTTACATGTAAGTGAAGAAGTATACATTGAATTAATTCACGTCAAAGTGATTACAATGTCTCTAAGTGTGACATATAGATTCATATCACAAGCATTACAAACAATGTGATAGGAGCAACAATTAACATCAATACATCTTCATATCATTGTACATATACCCCTCATCTTCACCAAGGACGGTAACTTTTACCAGCTTCTAGTAACACGTTATCTCAGTTACAGTTCTTGATCATTTTGATAGTATAATTTATAATTACAGTTTGCTATTTACTGAGATGCGATTTATTAAACTGACACGTTTTAATCTTCAGACTTTCCCTTTCCTTGGCGCAAAGGATTTTCGTAAAATGTATTAACATTATTTGCACTGTATGCTTGGATATTTTTTTCTTTATGTTGATATTCTTTGTATCAAAAGTGATTTTACAAAAATTAAAAGGCACAAACAAAACTAGTTTAGAAAATATGGTATCGCAATTTAATATAACCATCGAGCAAACAAACTTGAGTATTTTCTTCAAAATGGCTTAGTATCAAACAATATAGTCTTTCACTTGTATATGTTTTGTAAGCCTGCAATACATGTCCCTAAAATATTACATGAGCCGCGTCACGACAAAACCAACATAATGGGTTTGCGACCAGCATGGATCTAGACCAGCCTGCGCATCCGCGCAGTCTGATCAGGATCCATGCTGTTCGCTATCAGTTCCTCTACTTGTAATAGACTTGATAAGCGAACAGCATGGATCCTGATCAGACTGCGAGGATGCGCAGGCTGGTCTGGATCCATATTGGTCGCAAACGCACTATGTTGGTTTTGTCATGACGCGGCTCAAATGTAGTTAATTTCTAAATTAAACGAACACAAGAACATGAGGTTTATTGAACATTGAGTGTTAAACATTCCGTATATTGTACATTGAGTATATAGTACATTGAGTATTGGACATTGAATATATTCCCACAATCTAAACCTGTTACATTTTTTATTGTTTTTCATACATAATAGCTTTAGAATATTTAGTTATATTGAACAATACATATTGAGTATATTAAATGATGAACTTTGAGTTTATTGAATAATGAGTATAGAAGATCGAGTATATTGAATATTAAACAATAAGTATAATGAATATTGACAATCGAACATTGAGAATACTGAATAATAAGTATTGAATATTGAGTATATTAAATAGTGAGTATAGAATATTATGTATATTGCATATTAAGTATTAAACATTGAATATATTGAACATTCAGTATCGAACATTCAGAATATGGAATATTGAGTATTGACTATATTGAGCAATTAACATTACGTATATTCTCACATTTCAAAGTTGGCACAATTTTTTATCGTTTCCCTCTCATATTAACTTTTAAGATTGTTTATTAAAATAACTCTCACACAGTAAAAGTAATAATTATGTTCATTTTTTGTAAGGCATAATAAAATATTAATTTTTGTAAACACATTCCACGCTGTTTCCCTTTTCTACTTAAAGCTGTAAAACACAGAAGTAATTAAGGAAATATTTTTCTGTTTTTATCATCCCACTCAATATTGTTTTTCATTCAGCTTGATGTTTTAGGAGTCTCTTAAATAAACGGTAATAAAGGAAGTTGTTCTCAACCTTGTGACATATATCAAGCACTTTTCCTAATATAGATCAAACTATGTACCTCAATCTAAATTAGCCTTTCTTTAATGAAAAAAATCTACAAGGTATCGGTAGAAGCAGCTGATTGTCAAGGCGAAAAAAGCGTCTGCACTCAAAATACAACAAATAACTTTATTGCAAATAAAACATTATAACAATGTTTATAGCAAAAAACATATATATATATATACATTTCATGAAAATGAAAAATGTATAGATAAAAAAAACTATTCTTATTGCTTATGCTTAAAATGCTTAATTTTCTTTCAGGGCGATTTTGCGACGTTTTTTTTTTCCATAAAAATAACTTGTATGTTTTATAAATTGCTGAGGTACATTTGATTCATTCATAAATACTCCGCGACCCAACTAAAATACGTGTTTTTAAATCATGAAACAGATCTGAAAACAGAAATCAATTTAAAGATTTGTTTGATTAACGTTTTCATAGTTTGTTTGATTCAGCGATCCCCAAAAAAATTTTTTCCTTTTTTTTGAAATAGTTATT